GTGCCGAGCTGCCTTAACAAATATTTTAGATTTATTTTATACTATGTTATGTACGTACATACGAAAGCATTCACGAAGGCTGTGCTTTTTATGCAACGGCCGTGATTCTAGTGCCCTTTGGCCAACCTTATGTATGGTAAATGCATTCTTGATAAACACGGGTATTGAGAGTCCGATTTTTATGAACATTTCAGGGATTACAAGTCAGGGATCCTAAGCCGTCGAGCGTTATATTTTAAAATGAGTTTTGGGGGAGGATCTAAAAAGTAAAATATATTTTGACTTATCATGTTTGGTGTATCTAGCACTTCCAATCTCCGAGTTTTGGTTAAAAACCGATTTTTAAGATGGATATCGAAAAAGTATCGACAAAAATGATGGCGGAAACGTATTTTAAATTTCAAAAGGACAGATGAATTTGGCTAGAGCTATTCAGCTCGTTGACGTGATCAAGAATATATAGTTTATATTTGTTCGGATACGCTTCCCTCTTTCTGTTATTTATATGTGCACAAAACCAGCATAACCTTTTCTCACATTTTCAATGGGTTCAGGGTATAAACACACAACGTCGACATCGTTGTTGTCATCGACATCATCATTGGTTTTTTTTTTTGCCTTTCAATTGCCAACCAGTTAATGTCCTGACACCAGCACTTCTGTCCCCCAGCCCTCAATATGTCGTTCAATCCATAGTCCAAATAGTGCAAATGTGTGCAGTTATTGACGCTGCTAATATTTTGATGTTTTTCCATACCTCGCGACCGCATGTCAAATAATGTGACAATAACCTCTACCCCCATGCTGTAACATGCGGAGTTCTATGTGGGTGTGTCTGTGTGTTAGTTAATTTGTTTGCCTGCGCTGCAAATGGAATGCAGTTTTATTGTTGAGCTTGCGAAAATGTCACGCAATATGACACGTCCTGTCTGTTGATTAGCGTAAATGAAAGGAGAGCTGTAGCTTCATTAAATTGTTGATTTTAAACTAAATCGCAATAATTAGTTGCCGTTGACAATATTAATCAAATGCAGATCTTCTAATGCAACTTCAGATATTGTTCAAAAGGCGATGTTAAGAAGAATGAGCGTTAATTTCTTTAAAATAGTGAAGTTAGGTTTATAAATAATCCTCACTTTGCAACCCGGCATTAATACGAGATCAGATAAGAGGCTCTAGTCGGAAGTAGTAATAAAAATAAATTTAAGAACAAGTAAGAGGTTCTAGTCGGGATCTCGCGTCTAGGTGATACCCTAAACCTTCTTATTTGCTTTAGTAGTAATAAAGATAAATTAAAAGAAAAAGTTCCCTCGCAACTGGCCGCATTACTTGCCGCCGCCTCTATTAAACAGCCACACCAGGCAAAAAAATAATAATGGTTTGCTATCTTAGTTTGATATTTTCTCATTAGAACTCAGTTGTTGGTGTAGCTGTTGAGTAGAGTCGACGTCAAGTAGTGTGGTACGTTGCGAATTCGAATTCTACCGAGGAAAACATCTTTTTTTTACTACCAAAGCAAACGAGTGCGTAGCGCAAGCTGAATTTGGTGTTGGAAGAAGATGGTTTAGGGCATTCCCTAGTTGGGAGCTCCCGACTAGAGCCTTTAGCTCTCATAGGTTTTGATATCCTTGCGTTCATACATACGGACACACGGACGGATAGACGGACGGACATGGCTAAATCGACTCGGCTATTGATGCTGATCGAGAATATATATACTTTAGGCTTCCTTCTGCCTGTTACATACATTTGCACAAATACATAATACCCTTTTTACAAATTTTCAATGGGCTTATAAAAAAAAAAGTAAATTTCGCAAAGGTAGGCAAACGATTAATTTCAACTAACAAAATTTAGGCTGTTGTTGTGCCTTGTCAATTTGAGAAGTAAGTGGATGGATAGTAGCTGTAATAAAAGGTTACAGGCGATAGATTGGGCGGCAAGATGAGGCAAAATGATGTGCCAAAATTATGCCAACAAGTCCCTTAGCATCATGGCTTGATTCTAATTGCGATAAAGCATCGAAGCAAGCTGTTTACTTTCATAATTTTATAGTGTACGCCAGTCAATGGACAATTAAAGCCGGAATAGACGCACCTTAGAGAGCAGTCCAATTAAAGTTAAGGAGCTAGCTGGAGAAAGATCAAAGTAAGTTGTGGCTCACTTTAAGTAGCGGCCATTTTGCTAAAATCTACACACACACATACACGTCCTGCGTAGCAAATTATATGGTCAAAGGAAGTACTAGCTAGAGAAGGAGCCCATGTATAATTCCGCTTTAGGGCGCGTTGAGACCTGCCCTAAATTTGGAATATTAAATTAACAACGGTGCGTATGCGTATGTTGCGAAATAAAAGCGACCGGCTGTGTGTGGTGTGCAATAAATTTTCAATTTCCATGCATTTTGTTAGTTTTTTGTTGTCCAAAATACGATGAACACGCAACGATTCTAATTTATATGCGCGTCACTTATACGCAATGTTGTACAAGTGCACAAATATGACCCGCATGCAATTACAATGCAAATGCTGTAACAAATGGCCATAATAGAAATGAAAAATATTACAAGCTAACTCCACAATCCGCAATTTGCAATTTGCTTTTTTCGCAAAAAGCGCTTTACGGACGTTGATTAGTATGAAATGACAAGGCCTGAAACGCAGCATGCATAACTCGGCTAAAACGGGGCAGCCCTACGCAGCTTCAACATGGGATTCACGACTCAGTTGACCACTGCACTGGGGCGTGGAGTCTGGCACCAGTGGACATTAACTAGTGTCCAATGCGGCGTTGTGGCTTTCCAGTTCTAAGTGGTGCGGTACAAGTGCAGCCAATTGTGCATTGTATGTCCAGTGTGCATGCGAGTATGTGTGCATTAATGAGCTGACCTCCGTTGTACGCGAATTTATTGCTCAAATTTGGTTGTATTTTTTTCCTTTGTTGCTTTTTGCCATTTTGTTGGACTTATCAAAAAATTACATGCAATGAGCTGCGTTCTGAATCGGGGGGGTGGGCGGAATCTATGTTTGCGCTCCATTTGGTCAAGGCGTGCAATTTATTGCCGAACGATAGGGAAGTGGTCTCCGGAAAAGCTGTGCCTAATGCGCGACATTATACAGGCAACCGAGCTTAAGTTAATGTGAGGTGCGGAGTAGAGTGGAAGAAAATATGATAGCTTTGGTCCTGATCGACCACATGAATTTGATTTTATTTTCTTTATATGTACGGTTTTTTATATCAACCTCGGACAAAATTTATTTCACTATTTTTTATAAGCATGCCAATTTTAGTATTACAAAATGCATTGCTAAAAAATGATGATTAGTCCCAACTAAGACTTATAGGCTTTCATATTCTGGTTATAAGTCTTACTTTAACAGAGTTTTAGTGGCTTTTTTATCTCGGCCTTTTGCTTACTTTCTCTCCTTCCTTCTCAGTGATTCGTTTTGCTTTCATCTGCAAGTTGATAATAATTCAACTCTTGCCTCTTATTAAATAAAATAAAAGAGCTGTTGCTATGTTGCTGAAAGAAAGCGTAAATTCTTTAATTTGGCAACTGCCATTATAGAAGTATTCGTATGTGTGTTTGATTCGATTGTTGATAAATGATATTCAGTTATTTAAAACGCACATTCAGCATAGGCCATAACCACCTAATGACACTCCAATTATGTATCGCTTATTCGGGGAGTGGACTGCTTAAATTTAAGCTATACAAATGACTCCGTGCCAGCCCAGATTAGCATTCAATTCAAAGCTTCGCAATCACACAGTTGACTGACCTGGCCGAATTTATACAACAACATAAACGGTGAAAACTAGTGCAAGTTGGCAGTAAACTGTGCGTAGTAAATCAGACAAGCTACTGCGTGGGGAGGGGAAGTTGAAAAGCGGGCGAGGAGTTAAGAGTAAGGCAAAAGTGCAAAAAGTCTATTTTTCAAAATTCCATGTGAAGAAATCAAACGGATATCGAAGAAAATTTATGTGCGTCTATTTAGCTTTGAGCCGAGCAAGAGCGAACAACTATTAAGTAAACGCAGTGTGAAGTGTGCCAATCCAAGCATGTGTGTGTGAGTGCGTGTGTGTGTGTGTGTGGGCATGGGTGAGCGAGTAAGCAGCACAATTAAATTGGATTTATGCTGCGCGTGAACACAAAATGAAGTTAATGTGTATATCAATATAAGAATCCAAAGAGGCGGACCTTGTGAGCTGCGAACTGGTCGCCAGAATAAGAAAAATGATTCTTGAACTTTTTTAGTGCTCAAAAATCGTACCTTGTTTGTCATGTCATCAATAAACGACACATAGAACGAGCAGCGGCAGACGCAGGGGAGAAAGCAAATTGAATGAGCAAATTAAAAATAAAAGGAAAAGTAATATATGAGAGCATTATTCTAAGGAACGACAAGCCATTGGAAGTCTGTACGCCCAACTGGACATATTTTTCTTATAAGCAGTAGAAGCTACAACGACAGAAAAAACTGAGCAGTGAAGCGCATCAATGAAATATTTATGAGCTCCACCATGTAGATTTATGTATGTTGCCGGAGCGTCCGAGCTGGGAGCGAATTGAAAAATATATTAGCTGGATTTGCCGTCGGGCTACGATGTGCCATTTGGGTTAAAGTTGCTTAAGTAAGGTTCAAGTTAAGTTTTACGCTTTATGGAATACTTAATGCGACGAAGGCTGAACAAGTTTTTGATTAACTGTTGCCAAGCCTAGCAACAAATTGGAAACTTTTTATTAACACAATAATTGAAAAGAAATATATTATGTATAAAACAAGGTAAGCTGTTAAGATAATTTATCTTAAGTTGTATTTCAGTTTTTAATGTAATTAAGTCGTTTACATACTTTATATTACAAATATCTCTATGATTATTTTATTCTCATAGATAAGCTACAGGTATTTCGACTTTTAAATTTAAATATGCCAGGGCTTAAATATTTTCTCTAATTTTCAGTTAAGGAATTTTGCTGTTGCAGTTAAATGCAGTAAAGTAAATATTTTTTGAAAAATGTGAGCGTGATACTTGTAAGTAAAAATTAAATTGAAGCAATTTAATCTCACAAGCTTTCTGACCAGCATCTTTAAAAGCTGGCCCTGTACGATGTCAAATCTTCCTTCTTGCACAACTGACGGTCTGGCACAGTGACCATTTCTTGGGCCGAGGCAATAAAATAATATTGTTTTAGCTAACTAGCTGCGCAATGCACAAATGGACAAAAGGACAATTGAGGAAATGGCCAACGGGTGGCAGAGGGTAAGTATTCGTTCCCAAAGATATGCGAACATCCCTCAAAAAACACAAACCGCAACTACATCAGAGGCAAGCTGACATTTGTATGCCAGCAGTTCCGTTTGTCGTATTGCTGAAATAATAAAACTAAGAAAAGCGAAGGGAAACAAACACATAAAAACTGCGGAATCAGACGCGACAATACGGCGGAGAGATCGAATAATGCGCTTGGGCTTGATGGGCTAGGGGTCGGCTCGTTCCTTTCAGGTTGGGACAGAAAAAATACAGGCAAATATATGTTGGCTGCGGTTGCCATAAATATGGACCAAGTGGGGTCCGGCTGAGGGAGATGATGGGCAGCTGTCTAACGGAGCTGGCTTGCAAATAGATTTTTCATCATGTTTTATCTTATTCGCTTTGCTCACACGGCGTATGTGTGATAAATGCTCGGGATGTGGGCGTGCTGTTGAAATTTCAATAATAACTTTTGTATGAAGCTGTTTATGTCCTCCAACAAGTTCTGCTGGTGGTGGTGTTGTTCTTGCCCTACGTTAACAATGTGGCTGACAATTACGTCACATTGGGCTCTACGTTCCACACTCTCTTTTTCTCTCTCGTCTGCTTGTTTTTCCTCGGGCTTAGCAGGCGAGTCGCGTTTGCCTTTTGCTTGCTGCTTTATTTTTATTATGTTCATTTTTCCACACAAATACACCACCACGCACACACAACCACGTGCACACATGTCAGCAAAAATCATTTACGCTTCATTGTTTTACTCAATTTGGTTGATTTTTGCTTGCGACCTATTTTTTTTGCTACAGCCTCTTGTTTGACGAAAGCCTTTGAATTTATCGCGAGCTTACTCAACATTTTATGGAAAGTTCAATGTTTTCCCGCCACGTTTCCTACAAACCAATTGAAGAGTAGGCCAAATGTAGAAGAAGAAATATAAAAAGAGCTCTCGCCTAAATTCAGCTTTTAGAGCATTGCCTAAATGGTTAAGCCCCAAATGGCTGACGGTAGCATTTCTTAGATTGATTTACAGTACAAATAGCTGCTTAAGTCAACTTAGCGGCTAAGTCTGGAGATCAAAACTCAAAAGGATCTGATGTGAAGAGGAGAGAGTATGGGAGAATGAAGAGAGAAGGAGATAGAGCTAGAGAATAGTCCTTAACTTACGTTTATTACATTTTAATCATAAATGTCGCATGTTTCCAAAATTATAAATATTCTTTTTAAATGTTTTGCACTTTAGAGACGCTGGCTTAACTCTTAATAGTTCAAGTCCACCCCTTAAGCCTAATGAGTCATTAAACTGGCGTTAAACAACGTAATCCTTTTAACGACAACAAATATCAATGTGCTACTTGAGTGCACAAAGCCAAAATAAAAAAATTCAAACAGCCCAAATCTCGGAAAAAGCATTAATTACGTGAGGATTTTTTCGTACTGAGACAAACTGTAGTTGACTTTAATATTTATGGTCTGCGCGAGGAGGAAAAATGTGCAGCTTAAATAAATAACTGAATGGAATGCCAAGCAGCGTCAATGGCAACCAGCTGGCGGGCGCTGACGCATAATTATATGAAAATTCGCAATAATTATAAATAATGCAAATGGCTTGGAATATGTTAACGCTGAGCGGAGCACTCGCCACCTCCGATAACGCGGTACCAGATGCTGAAATGACGATAATGATGTCGAGGGACGAGCTTTATCCATCTACTACTCAGCGGCCACTCAACGCCAGCACCACCAGCACCACTCAGCCCCCCTCCCCCACCTACCTTACGATTAAAAGATTTACGCTTCCAGTCAGAGAATCGGTGTAAAATTAAATCAGTTATGACAGCAGCAACAGCAAATGAGCAAGATTATATTTCATTGCAATTTTGCACAGCTTGTAACAAATGTTGTTTGGCTTCTCAAATTTATTCTTCTTACAGCCATTATCGAACAGCAATTAGAGCTGACGAACAAAGTGCATAGCCTTTTGAATGGCTAAAAAGCGACAAATTCCTTGGCATTTCCTTGATACGCAGCATGAACTTTACCGAATTTCCACTTAACTGGGCATGTCATTCAGATGGGCGCACTTTAGTGCACCAAGAGGTGAAGTAGGCGAGGAATGGAATCAATAAATCAGAGAACTCAAGTATAACATTTTGGAATAAAAATTTAAATAGGAAATATATGTTGCCTTAATGTTGGTTTAACAAATCAAAAAATATAGCCGGGTCTATCTTTACAATCTTTATATTTTTCTTCAGATATACTTACTACAAGCAAAAACTCAACGGACTAAGCTGGCGCACTTCCAATAATCAGAAAACTACTTATTATGTTGGCGTATATTCTTTACGTTTTGACAATTTAATCTAAACTACAAACATAAATCTAACATGGAATCATTAAATAAATAAAATAATGTCGAGGGGCATGGGTAGTTGAACTGAGCGTTGGCCAACTAAGTGCAGTGATTAATGATATAATCTTGTTTTTGGTATTTATTTAAGCTTGTTGAGGCCATGTCTAAAGCACCTTACCACACAAGAAAAAAAAAATGATTCAAAATAGCCCACAACAGTTTTAGTAGATTATCTAATTTCAAAAACAAAAGTGAATTTGCGTTGTATTCAAATTGTGCGCACACGAACAGAAAAACGAATCATTTTGGAAGTTTCAATCTCTTTATGTACTAAATAACATTTTCTGCCACAGTTCACAGAATCCCGACCCTGTTAGCAGTAATTTGATTACCAACACATTCACAGCTCACACACTCTCAGGCAGGTTTAAGGCAGATCTGCACACTCATTGCGGAGTTAAGAACTGTTGGCTTGCTTATCGCGCGGTCATTTCATAAACAGTCGATATAAAAAATAATGCGAATTACCTGAAGGGTCTCGCCTGTGCTACGTATTTGTATTTGTTGCTTTTGCCTACTGAAATTATTTATGATTAAAAAATGTCAACGGCAGATGCCCTACTCAACTCTTGGCTAGGTGGTCTCTCTCTGCGGGCGTCATAATAAAAATAACATTATTCGCAGCTCCAGTTGACCTCATCGTAGCCGCAGGGCCGCGGCCTTGTTTTATGTTTTCATTTTATTATGCATACATATATGTATCCCTTTTTTATTTTTTGGTTTATGTGGCCAAGTACTAACTGGAACTACAAACGATGGTCACCGAATGACTTGGTATCTAGGCTGAAAACTATATACAGTTTATATGGCTTACGGCCAGGAAATCATATCATTAGCTATTGGTTTTCGATTCAAAATTGAAAAACTTAACTTAAACATAATTTCGTGCCTATATAGTGGCATGCAGCTTGATAGCTTTATCGGACTAATCAAATTTATCGAATGTCACGGCAGCTCTACGGGAAAATTATTATTGCGGACAAATTTTATGAAGTGCCCTTAGGAACTGCATAGCGTGCTGACTGAGACAGTCCTGTCAAGTTGACATAACTGCAGTTCACATTTTTCCCTAATATCATATCAGACAAAAGCAAACGATGGAGGCAAATGTTTCATGTCAGCCGAAAGGAAGTCTATAAATATTATTTAGACTAAAATTGTGAGCCTTTTTATTTATTAATAGCCCCAACGTTCAGCATATGCCTTGAAAATGTTTTTTCTTCCTTTAAATAACCAAAGGTTTTGCATGACACAATATGGATTTTTCTGTTCTTTTTTATTCCCGACCCTTTTCGTTGGGAGAACTCTTTTGGCCATTCCTAGCTTTAGCGGGAGTAGTTTCTCAGGGTGTTTTTGTGGTGAACAGCCGTTAGACGGACTTTTATGCAGTTTGTCCTTTCCATACATTTTTGCACATTCGTTTAGAATCCTAGGGCATAGAATTATTTTCATGTATGTTGGTATTCTCTTTTATTCCATTTTACTAATATATTTAAAAACATATAATATTGAAAGCGATAACTTTAGTTTCGATCTGGAATTACTTACAATGACATACCTTTCTGGCATTAGTTTTACAGGGTATACATTCAGTTAAAACCTTGGAAATCATTGGAGCATAATTTGTACAACAATTTCCGCCGTGCCCAGGGATTCGGATTGAATTGAACGGATGCGCAGCTAAAGCTGTTGCCGGTACTCGAGCTAAATACGTGGATGCTGCGGAACGGGTGGGTCGTTTGCTGTCTGTCAGTTGAACTGTGGTAAAAAGTCACAAGTGCGTTGAACTTCAGCGAAGCGTAAATGTTTTCTCGGCCTTGTTTATTTTTTCCTTTTGGCTTTAGTTTTGGCTAAAGCCCATCCGGATATTTGCTACGGACAGGGCAAGGATAACTTTAGCCTCATCCTTGGACAATTGATTTTGTTCGAGCGGGCTCTGTGGCTGATTAGTACAATTTCAATTTTCACGCGAACATATTTGAGCATGGCCAGTGGTTGAGATTTTGGTCTTGTCAGACCCCGCACGAAGGTCATTTTATGTTTGATTGAGCAATATTTTTGTTTGCATGGGGTGATTTCGAAGGAAATGTATGTTTAGCTGCGGTTCCTTTTCAATGTTGCCCCGTCATGTAATTTTCAAAAATTTGTAATTTTTTTATTTTTGTTGAGGAACCTAACAAGCAGCCAGACTTCCAGCTGAGTTACCAATAGCATATTTATGGATGTATACGCAATATTCTTACTGTGCGAGCCATTTCTGAATGTGAAATTAAATACTAAAGCAGCATATTCTTGACAAGTTGGCGCTGTGCGTATTAAATTTACCGACTTAGCTTTAAGAGCTATTTTTAAATGTTTTCTAATATCTAATGGAGTGTCGAAATCCTATATATATTTATATCAAAATGGTTATATGCCCTTGTAGAGGCCATTGTAATTTTAACGTGCAATGTGTAACGCTTAAAAGAAGACGTCTCCTACCATATAAAGTATAATATACAAGATCAGCATCAACAACCGACTGTTGCTAAGCGGACTAGTATCTCAGTTTGTATAGGTCCTTGTTTCTGTTGCAGGCAGTAAATATGTGGGAACAATCGATCCAAAAACATTTTATTGTGTAAAAATATCTTGACCAAACTCGGCATTAATAAGTTTCGCCCTGCTACGTCCATATATGCAAAATCTTGTTAACATAGGCCACTTTATATCATATATCTGCCATATAAACGAACAGTTGCAAAAAGAAGGTTCTTATTGCAAAATATTCTGTTTTCCAAGCTATTTTCATCAAACTTAGCATTTACGAGCCTCACGGGATTTACGAGCTTTCAAAACGAAATTTGCTTTTGAAAATTCATTGGGGTGAACACAGATATTTGTGTCTTTTTTAGGGAAATAAAACCAAGGCATATATTAGGTGAAACACGCATGTTACAAGAGGACACAACTCACAGTCCTTAAGACAAGAATATATTTTGTGCTTTCATTGAATTTAAGCTTGTGGTCTTTTAAGCAGCCTCCTTAAATCAAATTAAAATGAAACTTTTGCGCTTTTTAACTATCAACAAAAAAAAAGGAAGAAAGAACAGACGTTAACAAAATTTCATCATATTACAGCCAAACTGATACCTCACCGCAAAATATTTTGCATGCTACGTGTCTCACACAAATGGGGCACGTAGCATGCATAAACCAAGAAAAGCAGAAAGTAGAGAAAACATCATTCGCCTGGCCCGCATCAGAAATCAATTCGCTCAATTGGACTTGCCGCAGCAGCTTTCATACACGCTTTTAGAATAATGTTGCACCGACTCACCTGTCGTTGGATTATGGCGCGCCGCTGACGACAGATTGAGATTCCGTGGCAGTGTCATGCAATCCCCGTTGCCGCCACCGCCAGCGCCGTTGCCGCCTGTACTAGTGAGCAGCACATTGCCGCGACTGTCCACGAGGGCGGTGCCACCGCCCGCCAAATTTAAGGCGGCCGTGTTGCGCGCATAGTTCAAAGTTGCGGCATGATGCAATTGACTTGCCTTGGGCAATGTCATTAGTCCGGGATTGTAGCTAACGCTGCTGCCTGAGACAACAACTGAGGCGCCACTGTTGCTGCTGTTGCTGACACCAACTGCACCACCAGCAGCTGCTCCATTGCTACGTCCAAAGGTTTGGGTACCGCCGCCTATGCCCTTGATTTGCAT